CCCCTTATTTCTCTCCCGAGTTTCTTAACTAGAATTGTAAATCTTGGTGCTGCAAGCTGAGCTCAAGACCTGCCTTGTAGGCATTTTACTTACTGACTTGGGGGTTGTAGTAGAAAGGGAAGTTTCTCATTGAAAAGACTGGTGCCTAGATTTAATAACTAGCAAAAATCAAAACTGATTCTCCTTTTCTGCAGTTGATCCATAGTGTTTCTGGTAGCATAGTTTATATTTTATAGAAAATATGTGGGTCTAGAAACACTGAATGAGTGCAGGTTTCTTAACCCTGGCAACACTGCCATAGTGGATGTGGTCCAGTTTCTTAGGAAAATCTGTCCTATCCTTCACTGGGAGACAGACTGAAGGTTTAATGTTATTTTACGAGATGCAATAACTGTTGCTATTTATTCCTTGAAAATAAATAACCTTATATTGACGCATTATATTGACCACCATTGATTTAGGAAATGGATATTTTTTTTCTGCATTTAAAGGTATCCACTTAATGTTGCTTACCTAAGAGACCTTAAGTGCTTTAGACAATGCAATGTGCTAATTTCACATTCTTTAGTATTTTGAGTTAAAGTATTATGGTAAATTTTTCCAATAACTTTATATAGCAACCGCAAAGATTTTTTTTAAGATAACAAGTTTTGAAAAAGTGAATCAAAGCTATCAAGGCCAAACTAAAGTTCATTTTATATAGGCTTAAACTTCCAAACCAAAGTGTCATAAAAGCATTTTTCCACAGAAACTACCAAAGTACTAAAGATGATATTTGACAGACGTTTTCTTTCTAAGGATCTTCAAGAATTTGTTATTCTATCAGCTGATTCTCTTGAGGCTAGTAGTCTTCTGAAGGCTGTTTCATAAGATTTCTATTATATTCACTTCTGTTATGGACATAAATAGAGAAAACCACGGCATTATTTCAACAGATTTAGACTCATTTGAGCCCAAATGCTGTAAGTTTGGATTTTCACCTCAACTTGTGTTTCCATAAGGACAATCAGAAAAGCAGCTTAACCTAGAAGACCGAATTGACACCTGATCAAAACCAAATTCTGCAAATATCAAATCAGTGTGTATTTGTTATAAGTTTTCACAAACCCTTGTTTTTATATGTTTACCATAACTATTCAAGTTAAATACACATTTTATGTTTAAGACAAATCTTAAGTTATAAAAAAAATCCTCAAAATTGTAATGCTAGGGTTAAATCTGTAAATTGTAAATTGATACTTTTTCCCCTCCCCAAATTAATGCTACTGGAGAATTGCTAAGGATCTTATCTTTTGTAATTAATTGTAATTACTTAGAAAATTTAATACACGAGGGGAAAAAGTCAATTAGTAAGAACAAATATAGGCAAAGAAAAGTATGACTCTTGCCACCAGACAACTCTTGTATTATCCTTCCTGGAAGGTGATTTGTTACTATAGTTTTTAGTGTATTTTAAAGTGTTTGATTTTACTGAAATAAAGACATACTATTCAATTTTAAATGAAAAATTAAAGTGTGAACTAGTCTGTTTTTAAAGCTAGTCTTCTAGACATTATAAAGTTTTTTATTCCCACCCAAAACACTTTCTCTCAGGCTCTCTTGCCAAATGGCTAGGAATGCATAGATGCTGCAATCCTGTGTTTAGCTAACAGGTGTTACAAGGAGCAATGACAAGCAGGCAGGTTTAGGGTGATGGACAAACATCCTTATGTACGAATGTATTAATCGTATTTTGGAACTTGATTTTTTTATTCACTATTGACTAAGGGTGGGGGAAGTGATTATATGAGTTTTAAAGTTAGTGTGCAGCCTGTATTACATATTTCTGACATGAAACCAGCAGGTAGGACTTGTGCAAATTATCAAGTTCCTACTTCGTGGGAAAAAAATAATGATGCATTCCTTATTTGGGTGTGTGATTTTGAGTTTGGCTTTTATATAATCACCAATGGATGACTTTTTGTGAGATTGTTATACTTCTGCTGTGATTATGCACTTAATATTTTCTTTCTCTTTGTGATTATTTGAATAGGATATCAAGCCAATGAGAGATCAGATTGTCAGAGTGAAGAGATATGAAAAAGTCCCACTAATCCTAGTAGGTAACAAAGTGGATCTGGAACCAGAAAGAGAGGTTATGTCTTCGGAAGGCAGAGCTCTGGCTCAAGAATGGGGCTGTCCTTTCATGGAGACATCGGCAAAAAGTAAATCAATGGTAGATGAACTTTTTGCTGAGATCGTCAGGCAAATGAACTATTCATCCCTGCCCGAGAAGCAAGATCAGTGTTGTACAACTTGTGTTGTCCAGTAAAAAAGATAACCTCAATCATGGCCATACCGAGCAGGTTAGTTGTTGATGGGAACTATAATAAGCCAGGTAGTGTTTTGTTTTTGATCAATTTTAGCAAAAAGCTGGTTAATATTAATACATATGATGCTATTATAAATTTATTTTTATACTATTTTCCTCAGCATAAAATAGTCAACATTCAATGTCAAAATTCTAAAAAATGTAGATGAGCAAAAAAAAGGTAAGAAACTGCCTATGTTCTCATCACCAAATTTTTTTTAAAGTGAGTTACTATCTTTTCCTGTCCTTTACAAATAATATTTTTGGGGGGTAAATCAAAACATAATACACATTTTCTTTGTTTTGCTGATTGAGCATCCAAAAGGCACAGTAGAATATTGATAATTCAGAAGATGATTAGTTTTAAATTTTTTCCCTAGGCTTCTATGCTTTTATATATCCTTGGCAAGAGAGTTGCTATAATTGAGATCATCAGTTTACTAATCACCCAAGTACTTGATTTAACAGGATGATTATTTAATCAAGTTCATCTGTACCTTGTGCTTAGGGACTTAAGTGACCTCTGATAATAATGAATTATGCCACAATGCACCTTGACTTCATTATGAATATATAATCCACATGAGAATCTGGTTAAATCACCTGTGATGTGTTAAACTATCCCAACTAATAAATAATGAAATTAATAACGAACCTGTTGAGTTAATAACTTAGTTTTTTAAATGATAGGTTTTGAAAAAGTAAGATTATATGAAATTTACTTAGCATTTAAACTGCGATTTTATATCATGAGCCTTTTGACTAGATTGTAACTGAGCAAACAGTCTCAGTAACAGTTACATAATAAAATAAAACAACCAATATTGAGGATGACTGAGAAATCTCAGCAAATGCCAGACTAGTCTGATGATATCAGGAGTGAAATTGATCTTTCTGAGCTCAGGCTGACCTCGAGTCTACGAAGCAGTATTGCAAATGGCAATAGACATTTCAGATTGCAGAGATGATTCCTAATCAAAGGTCTGGGTTTATATCTGCTCCCTGGAGAAAAGACTAGCGGTCTCTGATTTATCTTTTCAGACAAGGTCTCCTGTCAAGTAGTGTCATCTTTGAAAATGAAAGATGAAAACAATGCTTTATTCAAAATACTTTTGTCAGCCTTTAGCATACTACCATATGATGAAAACTCATTTATTTTTTTATGTCTAGCTACACCTGTTACAAAGTCACTATTCAGACTGTAGGTGTGGGTCAGCTTGTTGATAGTGTTGCACTTGCAGCATAGTTGTTTGAGGAGGGGACAGGTTTAGGTAGGTGAGTCCCATGTTCTTGCTTCTGTAATCTTTCTTTGTAAATTGTAAACCAGCTTCAAGTATGAACAAGTTCCGTGCAATTATTGCATCTTTATCATGATGCTCTTATTTCTCTGACACTTTTAAATGGGCAGATGACTTAAATATATACATTTTGTTTTAGTTTCATCATCTCTATAAAAATCAACCAAACCCCACAAAATGTTTCTAGTTTCCTATCATTAGTGTACACAGCTATAGGAGGTAAAAGGAATAAAAGTAATCTCATACATATAGAGGCCAACTGTTGGAAAATGGATAACTTCTAAAGCTATTTGTAAGCCTTTTTTGTTCGGAATTATTTCAAAATTCATTTCATTTTGCAACTTTTTGTGATCTGAATTATTTTTAAGCCATTTGATTAATCTGTAGGGATGCATGTATAGATTTTTTTATATCTAGCCAGCTGTGATTTCATTTCTTTTTTTTTTTTTTTTTTTAGATTTCTTTGAAATTTTTTTTGAAATTCTATTTGATTCATCTATAGTGTTTTGGGTACATCTCTTTTTTTTTTTTTTGGTACCAGGGATTGAACTCGGGTCCTTGGGCTTGCAAGGCAGGCAGCGAAACCACTGAGCTAAATCCCCAGCCCTGTGATTTCATTTCTTATTGATTATTATAGTAAAATCAAGCTGGCTATGGTAGTACGGGCTATAATCCTACATATTCAGGAGGCTGAACCAGGAGGATTGCCAGTTCGAGGCCAGCCTGGGCAATGTAGTGAGAACCCATGTGAAAAATCAAAACAAAACAAACCCTCCCCCCAAACACCAACTAAAAATCAGAAATTAATAACATTAATTACTCATTTTTATAGTCACACTCAAATGCCCCATGTGGTTTTTTTGCTTGGTCTTTGTTTTTGTAAGCAGAGTACATGAATGAAGTTGTGGATCTTGAAATAGGTATCTAATCAGCTGAATTTTGAAACTATTAATGTGAACTTCCTAATTAAGATCTTTTAGAACAAAGTACAGTACATTATATAAAGTTTTTTTTCTGACATCAAATAAGATTGAACTGATATGTTTGGAAATCTGCAATCTGAGACTAGTAAAGTTTGTGGTTGTCCTTGCTCACTACCTAACAAAAAAATATGTAATGAGCCAGACATGGTGATACACACCTATAATCCAAGCACTCTGGGAGGCTGATATAGGAAAATTGCAAGTTTGATCCCAGCCTGGGAAATTTATCAACTTAGTGAGACCCTGTCTCAAAATAAAAAATAAAAAATGGGCTAGGGTTGTAGCTCAGTGTGAAGGCCCTGCGTTTAATCCCCAGTGCCACACACACACACACACACACACACACACACACACACACA